TGCATTTAATATGTTTTGTCAGGTCGTGCTTGATTTTTATTAACATTCTGGTTTTAGACACGGCGATAAATGAGCATCGTGCCTCGGGATATTATTCTTATTTATTGGGTTGAAAAGTATGCCCTTGTTTTCAAAATAATTTACACAATGCAAGAAACGCCACATCGCCTTGATGTTGAATTGAGTTTGAGGAAGGGGATATTTAAAAATGGTGAAAGAATCTTAGCATCTGCTGGTTAGAGGAATAACAATAATTTAATTTACGTTTTCTGATTGACAATATCTGCTGATTTTTGGTAGCCTTGAATTAGAATATTATGTCTTTAAAAATATTTATTCGTCTGACAATCACATTCAGAGGTTTTTTATGTGTTAGGTTGTGTTTGATTTTATGTTTCCAAAGTATTTAACACTAGTGTCTTAGTTTAATTTTTCATTAGAATTTGTAATAACCTAGAAGCTTAGAAGCTGAGGAATATCTTTGAAATTTCCTTCTTAGCTCGCGAATTGATCAGTCCCATTTGTTTGATTTTAAATTTTAGGTTTCTTTTGGACTTGATTTTCTTTTTTGCTTCTCGGGAATTGTGTACATGTTTCAAATGGTGGCGTCGCCTCCCCCCGCCCCGCGTAGGACACCCCAGAGGTTGTGATGTGAGTTGAGCTTGATAGACAAGATTGTGTAGTTAGGATCAATATATCTGATCGGATGGAGACGCTCCTTACTCAGAGACTTGATACTCTCCAAAAGCTCAGCGTGTAATTTTATTCCGGCGTCCAAAGGTTAATTCAGATTTATTGTGAAGGGCGATTTACGGCGTGTTGGTGCGTTTGTAAATGTGACTGTTTTCAAATTGAAACGATATTCGGTTACACTTTTTTGGAATTTAACGTCATCCAATTTAAGTATTTGGGATTTTGACATGTTTTATAATTCACATGCACTCATTGTTGAAGATCGTGGAGAAAGGTAAACATGAAAACCTTGAGAGTTTTCCATGCAGCCAAGCAGAGGTGCCTGGCTGCGTTGTGCAGCAATACTGTGTGAATTCTGACCTAGCTTTGCGTGCAAATGATCAACTGGTTCACATCAGAAATGCTTGGAGTCTTGTTTGGATGGCATCCATCCACAGATGCTACAATATCCCATTTTGGTATTTACCGGAAAAATAAATTAAGGTTTCTGAACTTTAAAAATACTTAGCAACTATACAAGATTTGCCTACACAATACGTGCTAGAACATTGAATAGATAGTGGCATACAAGTAGTGCTGCGCAATGTAATTATACTGAAATTCTTTTATGTAGTAAATTAAGTTTTCCTCATATTAGAAATTTTATCCAGTACCAATAAATTATTTTGGAGCCTTAAAAGTTGTTTTTGAAAGTATGTTTTTCTGTATTCCATCTTTGACATAGAAGCCATCTTGTTCTCGATTCATCACAATTATGTTTGACTTGTGTCAAGCTTACCAAGCGCAGAGATTGATGCTTATTGAATAAAATGACTTGATCGTTCTTCCTGAGTTTGGTGCACTTTTTTTCTTTTTATGTTTTTTAGATTTTTGTGGGCTTTTGTTTTGCTAAAATTGCAATTGCTGCCTCTGACACATTCACAATTAGTTGTACAAAGTTATCAAGTTACTCTTTTATCAGGGTGATTGCAAATAGGATGTTTTTTGGCTAAAGGAGGAGGAATTCATCACAATAATATGTCTTTAGTTCAAGAATGTGAATGCAGATTACAAATTCTATTCATTTCCCACCCACCTAAAAACAAAATGGTTCGAGTCTGCTTTTCCAACGCTTGGAGGTTTGTAAAATGTAAGCTATGTATGAAAGTTTTAATATATTTAAAATTCTGACTATGCAGAACTGTTAAAACTTGTGAGGATCATTGCAAAAATAATCTAATTTTAGATTTTTAAACTTTTCCACTTGATGTTGTATTTTTTAATAGTTAGAATAACTCTTGTGAAGAACAGCATACTTATGCACAGTGAATCATTTTGCTATAGCATATTGCTTAAACTCCTGGGACTTAGAAACATTTCAATACAAAATACCTTAAAGTGAGTTACTTTCTAGACTGGATGAGCTGAGAGATAAACACCTTGTCATAATTAGAGTCTTTTTGTTTATTTATTGTTATTTGAGACATAGTTTGTTTATTTCTAACCTGATGTATATGTATAAATTAGTTGCCTGATATGTACCAAAGGTTTAATGCTTTTCAGGATTATTTTCTCTAGTTTAAAGGTCAGTTACTATGAAGTAGCTGTTAAGAGTTAAACATTGGGATGATTAAAGCCATTGACTTTGGCCTGAGCCTTACTGACTCAAACCCGAGTAACCAATTCTTCTTCACATCCCTGGTCTTGGGTTGAACCAAGTGGCTGGCAACTTATTTCACCTTGAGCTGAGTTTCTGGCCCTAAATGTTTCCATCTTACAGACAATTACATAAGAACAATGGGAAAAGAAACTTTACCGTCTCTACTTCAGCTTATCTGCTCCCAAAAGCCTCATCTACATGTTTGCCACCTCCAGAATCAACTGGTTAAATGCTTTCTTGGTTCACCTGCCATCCTTAATTTTCTATAAACTTCAATTTGTCCTAAACTTTGCTGTTTTTATTTTTGTCAAAATAAACAAATTTTACAACATAGTCTAGGTGTGCAGCTGTTTAAAACTTCAGTTTTCTGCATTTGTTTGTGAAACAAAACAAAATATTAGCACCCTTGAATTGAAAATTGTCATGATACATTTAATCTATTCAAAATATCCTAAACTGCGCAAGACCCACTTGACAGTCAACCCTGTGTTGTTGATTTACAATGGTTTACAGTTCCCAAATGCATAAAATATAAATTCTCATCCTTGTTTTTGAATCACCTTTCTTATCTCTGTAATCTCTCATCTAAAAAGCCTCTGATAAGTCTGAGTTCCTCCAACTTCTGTGGATCCTTTATTTTCTTCCCTCCTTTTTAAAGGAGCAGTTATGCCCAGAGAGAAAAGATTTGTTTATTTATTTTTATTCATTTGTTCAGGGGATGTGGTGTAGGGCAGATAAGAGTCAACCACATTGTTTCGGGGCTGGAGTCGCATATAGACCAGACCAGGCAAGAATGGCATATTTCCGTTCCTAAAGGACATTAATGAGCCAGATAGGTTTTTAAACTGGTTCTTCAAGAGTTTGATGGCATATTTTTACATGTTTGCTATTAGGCAAGCTTTTTTTTATTTTACAGATTTTTATTGAATCCAAATTTCACCAATTGCCATGGAGATTCAAATCCATGTCCTCAGGGCATCGGCCTAGGGCGCTGGATTACTAGTCATGACATTTTCACGACACCACCACTTCTCCATTGAATTAATTCCAAGCATCTGAAAATTCCATAGGATCATAGCTGATCTAACTCATCTAGATTTGCTGAGGACCACATCCATGCCACATCCAGTTTGGAGCATATAGGCATTCTTTCTGAATTGATTTACAAACTTCAGTATCCAGGTTATGTGAATTTTTGCCTTTGAGACAGGCAAAGTAAGCAAAGAGTGCTGGTGGTGAAGAATATTGATGCTTTTGACTTTCTCAAGTCTGAATCTTGTTCTGTTTGTATTGTGGACAAATTCTGATTATTTAATTCTGAGAAAACACTTTGAAGGGAAATAATTCCACTTTCTTCAGTTGCAGCTACATTTGCACAGGAGTAAAGGAAGGATGCAGGTCTAAGGGATGTGTGTGTTTTTGTAGGGATAGTCACCTTCCTTTGACTCCAGCACCTATGCAGGCTTTTCATTGTTGAAGCTGCTAAGCCAGTTCAGCTCTTTTGGTGGGCTCCTACAGTCTTGTGGTGATGTGTTTCTGCTGAGCTAGGTAAGGTCATCCACTGCCTCCATCTTTCTCTGCCAATCTGAACCGTTTGCATGACAGCATAAATGCCAGGACTCTGGACTTGACAATGAAACCAATAACCTAAAGATGGCTGGTTTACCTTGAATATTTTCTAACACATCTTTGAGATGAGTCATTTGAAGGGGACACATCAACTGTGTAGTCCATGCCCAACAAAATGGCCTGATTTATATTAATGTCTTGTTTGTGGAAATGTAATCAAGGATTCAATCTGGTGCATGACAAGAAAGTTGTATTCAGGTCAGGCTGTACTCTAGATTTTGGACC